CTTCTTCTGCTTCATCCAACCTACCTTCCCTTCTCAGGGCAAGAGCATTCTTCTTCAAACCAAGAAGCTCTCTCTGGATCATCAATTTGTTTCTCGGTACTGTTTTAGATTCATTGCCTTTTGTTTTAATGCCATTCTGACCCATTAGAGAGCCGTCAAGCTCTTTTTCAATGATCTTTGCCTTCTTTAACATCTCCAGTGCCTCTGCAGTATTACCTGCCCTTTTCTGCATGAGAGCTTCCCTTTTCAAAGATTGAACTTCGCTGTGTTTTGCTTCTCTATTATCAGCATGATCTGGATTGTCCTCCTCACTCCAGCCCAGTGATTTTAAGGTGGCTTCCATTTCTGGGTCTTCCATGTCATCCTCAGTCACTTTGAGATCCCCACCAAGATCATCATGAACAGAAAGAATGTTGTCAAAGTCAAAGCTGTTAAAGCCTTCAAAGTTCGCTCCTCCCATTGAAAGATCTTGTGTATCAGCAGAGCCTAAACTACGAATCAGTGAAGAGATTTCATCATCGTCGGAATCCTCACAATCCATCAGGAATTCCTGTTCCTCAATTTGCTTTTCGAGTACTTTAGCTTTCTTTAGTTCCTCTTTGGCCTCAACAAGTTTCCCTTCACGTTTGAATTCTAGAGCCTTTTTCTTGTGCGCAATAACTTGGGATTTATCAGATGCTTGGGTTCTCTTCCCTGTATTTGGTTTTTGAGATACTTCTCGAAGAAGAACAGACAATTCACCCTCCAGACTCATTGTTGTTGGTTTCTTATCAGTTTCATAGATATCCATATCAGACCAACCCATTTCTTTTAGCTCTGAAACAATATCATCCTGTTTTTTACTAACGGGTCCATTGGATTCATCTGACATGTTGCTGGAAGACGAAGAAGCCCTTTTGCAATTTTTCCTAATTTGCACCTCCAAAGCTGCAGCCTGTCTCTCCAGCTCTTTCCCCCTTTTAAAGGCTCTCAGGGCTTCTTCAGATTTTCCTTCTGCTTTTAAAGTTCTGTGCTTTTTCTTCTCATCCATAGCTTGTTGGCGCAATTCTTCAGGAGTATTGATGATTTCCGTCTCATTCATCAGCACATCCTTAGTAGAGAAATCTTGACTGAGAGAAGATGATGATGAAGCAATACAGGTCGGTTGCTGATCATGAGGAAGTGTGTCACCAGATAAGATTGATTGTAAAACTTCATCGTCCTTATTAGGTGTATGTCTTGAACCGCCTGCAAATATGATGTTAAAACTTCATCCTCATAATTGTTTTCAGATACATCACCTTCTAGTCATTCAAATACAGTCTAAAGGAGATCAAATGGAAACAAAAAAGAACCTTAAGCCCTTGAAATGAAGGGAATGTGCCCCACATTAAAACATACCTTTTCCAGCTCTTTTGTATCCATGTCTCATTTCAAACCGTGCAGCTTCCTCTAACTTTTTGCAGGGATCACAAATCCTTACTGGGGAATCGCCTTGACCACGCAATGACATCCTTTGATTGGTACAGCTATTGCAAAACAGGCCACCACACCTTCGACAATGATGCTGAAGAGCACAAAAACAACCATTTAAAAAAAGAATGTCCATAATCTGTGTTTTTTTTCAGATCATAATGCGAGAAATAGGAGGAAGAGAGGAGGCAGTTTTCACTAACAAGATAGAAAACGCATCTATAAAGGCCCAAAGTAGATCGGAATCGAGGCTTAGTTGACTTGAGCACGCTAAGGCTATGTTTGGAATGGAGAAAATGGTAGGGAAAGAGGAAAATGCTTAAGAAAATACTGGAGTACGGAGTTTTTTTTAGTTCGCTTGTGCCTAAAAAAATACAAAGGAAAATCAGTTTGAGTTTGTAAACAACTCATATATTTATACTTTTTAGTCTTTAAATTGATCTAGCGAGTTCGAAACATTTCTTTATGTTCCCTCAAAATTTCTTTCCTCCCAAACTTTCCATCTATTTTTTTCTTTATTTCCTTTGCCTAACATTTTCCAGGTTCCAAACAGCCCACAATGATATTGATTTTGGAAAATATTTATGGGCTACAAAAGGGAGCTAAACAAAGTTGGTATTAAGTTAGGCTATAGCTAGATCTTACTAGAGGAAATCACGTTCTAATTACCCTTTCACCAAACCATCTCATTGTTGGTGATTTTAGTATCATCGGCTATTTTATGTAATTATATTTACTTATATCAAGCAAGAATTTTTAATAGGCGTTGTAAACAAATTGGGTGGTGCGGAGTGCACCCTTGTTCAACAATATTACAAATTCCGTAACATTCAAATGTTAGTATTAACTTCCTACACCCTTTGCGAATGGACACATACATTGGGATGTTTAAGAGTAAACATTCAAATGTTTCGCGATAAGACGCAATAGTTCGTGAAGAAAAGCACTATAACACAATGCTTAACAATAACGGCTGCATACACTCATCAACACACGCGTCTGATCAGTTTCTGCTTTATGGAGCCCGAGGGTATGTTTGAGTCTTTGAGATATGACAGATTTTCCATACTCGTTCTAGATTACTTATGTACTATCTCATTAGAGTATTTTGATATACCCCGAAACAACTTTAATCAGAAAGCGTTTATACGTGATTCGCTAAATCTATCAAACCGTTCTCCGTGTTCTTAATATACCGATTCTCCTAATGCTTCAACACAACATTCCTACCCCTCCCGGATTTCCAAAACCCGGTATTTTTTCATGTTTTTGTTACATACACTATACATAACCAAAAAAATTAAGGATATCCATAATATGCTCATCCACTGAGTGTGTCATCCCAGAAGAAACTGCCTCTAAAACCATTCCAAACCAAACAACAACATCAACCAACCGAATATAATCTTGACTTCGCTATGGTGTGGTTTGGGGGGGGGGGGGGTCAAGATGTACGCATCTTTAACTAAAGATGTTATTTCTGAGAAGACCTCTACAAACAAGGTCTAGAACAGTTGATTAATTGTGTGCCACAAGCTCAGGTGACTTGCTTATTGAGTAGCCAATTCCCAAATCAACAAAACTCAAGTTTTATCAGGAAGATCAAAAGTCCAACCTAGAAAGGGAACTAGTGGGGTGCAGCCTATGAAACCTAACCAATCATTTATTGTCATCAAAACAGATTTAATGATAGGCACCAACAAGCATTACAACTCACCACCGACTTCAATCAAAGAAGATCACAAAGATGAAAGACCCCAACAATCTAACTTTAGAAAAATCATGGATTTTAAGGCCTTGAATCAAAATTTGAACTATTAAGTTCCAGAAATTGAGCTTGAGCACTAAATCTTCATACGCACAAAAAAAAACTAACCTTGCGATTGATGAAGGTGAACTGGGAGGAACAACCTTGGCAATGGGAGGCGTCGACGACCCAATTGTTGCCTCTGAGCGACGGCTTCGGAGGCAACCCGATCTTCTCCAACATCTTTGAAGCTTGATTTTCTTCGCGGAAAGAGAGAAGAACGAAGAACAGAGGGATTTCGGCCCGGAGATGGCGAGGTTCACCCGGAACGGATCGGCTGACTCTACTTTATTACGTTGAATAAACAAGCTTCTGCAAAATCTACACCCAATCCTCATTTTTTTATTTTTTTAAAAAAAATTATACTAATTTAAAAACATATACTTCACCCGTCTAACAATAAACTTCTCAGTTATTATTACGAGCTCCTGATAACTTATGTTTGTTTGCATAATGTCATAAATCGTTTGATAAAATAAAATATTCCTATCACATCTAAATATTTGTAGAATTTTTTATAATTTTAAACAATTTATTTATATTTTTTTATGATATACTGTAATACTTTGTAAATTAAGTAACTTTTGTAAGAAAATGAGATTTTGCACATTGTTTCAAATGTGAAATTTATTGGTGGACGGGATGAGTATTAAACATACCATTGATAATAAATACTAAAAGAGTACAATTAAAAAAAGATATTGTTATATCTATTCTCATAATGCTTAAATATACTTTATTTATGTAAAATAGACAAATTTATCAATAAAAGTTGGCTAACATCTTATATCCCTTATTGTGTTTCTAAGGCAAAGTTATCCATTCGGTCCAATGAATAACAATGAGGATGGTTATATGAACACCCTTAAAAATAATACATAATTAAAATGATACTCCTACATAATTAATTTAAGAACGGGACATAAAGAATGGTCCATGAATTCAATGTTGTGATTCCGGAAAAACAAGGATGGAGATTTTTGACCAGACGGGATGCCTAGGTTTCTCTAGTTTTGAAAGCGAGATATTTTTTTCTAAACAACCATGCTAGACGTACACCAAAAGTGTACCCCAAGTTGTACCCGAAAAAATGTACTGACATTTTAACGATTAACACTAATACGAAATGTTAGTTCAATTAAAGAAAATTTGCACTGGCATTTTTTGTCAATATAATTTATCATATTAACATCACACTAGCACAAAATGTCGGTGCATGCCTTTGGTGTACAAAATGAATTACAAATTTTAGTGTACAAATAGCTTAATCCTTTTCTAAATCCTCGTTTCTTGAGACATGGTTGGGAACCAATGGAGCTATTGTTGGAGGAGCATTATATTCTTCAAACTCAAGGGTTGATTCAGAGTGGTATTACTGTATTAGGCGACCTTGAGTGATGTGGATTGGAATTGATTAGAGCGGTGTCTTAAGAAATGCTTGGTTAACAAACAAAATAAGCACAAATCTTACAAATTTACTATCTGTGAACTTCAATAAAAAAAATAAAGTAATTAGAAATAATGATAAAATGAGAACTTAAACCATAAATGATAAGTTTGTAAATTTTGTGATTGTTTTGTTTGTGAAGCAAGCATTGCTCGGGGCCTTAAGTTGGAGAATCATTGTTTGCATTACTACCCTCTCTTCATATTAGTGTTTTATCTTCTTTTAAAACTTGAAGCTTCCATTAATGACTTTTTAGTCAGACTCATGTGGCGTATACAAACCTCAATATATAATATAATACAAATTCCCCGTTGGAATGATACCACTGAAAAAGATACGTGATTTTTCCGATTGGGTTTGCACGTAAAAATAACATGTCCCACTAAAAATGTTCAAACAACTTATTCATCTAGTTTTAAGGAATAATAATGGATTCTCAATATTTCTTTTAACAAAGCCACTGAAAAATGAGTACAGTCATAGATCAAATATGCATGCTATGCTACCCAAGCCTTGAGAGAACATCATTCAAAGCAGCCACGGTTTCCTCGTAGTATTTCTCTGCTTTACTGCTGTCCTTACTCTTCGCCGCATAGTCAAGCTGATCATTATTTCAAGAATCACCAATAATACAATGGTTACCATAATACACACACACACACACACACACACAAATTTTGCCTAGTTATATATACACACACTTACATTGCTGATGGTTTGGTAGAGTTTGCCAGTCAAGTCCTTGAGCAACTTCTTGTCTTCTCTGGGCATAGAAGAGATGACAGTGTTGAGATCATAGCGGAGGTACTCTGCCTTGGAGCGAAGGTCATTCTGGACATAAGGCCATTGTTGTTTATCGATCAGGCCCTTCACATTGATAATGTCCTTGGCTGACTCTTTTGCCCTTGCCGCGGCTTCTGATGGTGACAATGGTTGGAGGTAGAACCTCTCCTTTAATGGCTTGCTCAGGTCTCTCGCTTCGTCCGAGTTCAGTGTTCCAGCTGCATATGCCCCAGTGCCAAAACAACCAAGAACCGACTCGGTGAACCAATGCTCCATATTTATAGTAGAGAAATTACGACGAATTGTCTAATATTATTGTTCAAGACATAAGGATTGAGCTAGCATTGTTTGTTGATGTGAAAATGACAAACTCATTTGAAAGACTACCTTGACACTCTAAACTCTATCTTAAAGATGAGTTTTTTTAGAATAAATCTACCATGATCCTTCCAATTGCAAACAAACTTAGGGTCTGTTTGGTGAACGCGTGAGATATGAGCTCTGATATCTCTAGGTGTTTGGTGAAATCTAAACACGTTCGAATTGTTTTGATGTCTTCGGGTTTTTGGGGGTAACAATATCAGATTTCAAATCTCTCTAAACAATTTTATTCCAAATTTTAGAGTTTATATTATTTTGTCTTGATTTTAGAACTCATATCATTTCAACCTTTTTTTCGCTAACGAAGCATACCCTTAGTTGCAAATTAAAGTTCACAAACACCATTTCCAATTTTTCGTCAAAGCATATAAGAGGAATATCCTAGTCTTTAACTCTTAACATAAGAATTTTCAAACCTAAGTGGTTAATTATAAATGTTAAGAGGTTAGTTAATTAATGTTATTGAAATATTACAAAAGGAGATATGAAGACTTACGGAGGCCGCCGGAAGGCGGAGGCGGAGGCCCAACCTTGATTGACTGGACCTCGGCAAGACCAGATTGGACAAAAGACGACCCAGAAACCAATCCGGCCGCAGCAACGCCGAGAAGTGCCCGCCGGCTAGTTTCCGCCTCGCCGGGAACTTGCTGTGCTCTGACGACCGATAATCCTCCGGGTCTGACGGAAAATCCCACTCTGACGGCGCTGCCGGAGTTCCAGCGGGCTGAGCCGCCGTTGATCTTGAGGCTCCCGCCGTCCAATGCCGCCAGAGAAGAAGCCATGGCTTGGGCCATAATTGAGGCTGCGGAAATGGTGTCGCTGCGGATTTGATTTTTGGGTGGATGAAAGAATTAGGAAATGAAGAAGAAGACGCCGACGGGGGGCTTATCCTCCTCTGGATATGGCATCGACCAATCAACGCCGTTCAATTCTTCCTTTTCGTTGGATTATCCTCTCATTCAAACACTTGTGAATTGTGATGGGACACGTGGACGGTATGGTAGGGGTTCGTACCAATATTATATCAAATATTTCGGTTCAGTATGTCATCGTATCGATCTCGATCCCAAAGTACTGATTGAGTATTATTTGATTTTTGTTTCGTTAAATATTGGGATGAATGTAAATACGTACCTTGTTTACACTTTAAAATGTACAAGAGTTTTTGTTTTATAAAAATCTAAAGTACATTCAATTAAAAAAGATAAATAATTGAAAAATAAATAATTAAAAGCAAAATTGCTTATAAAACTTAGTTTAATTTATACTTCATATTTCACAAACAAAACAGAGCCAATGATAACAAAATAGCATTTCAAATGTTTGTTAGCTTTTTTATATCCATCTACAAAAAATTAAAATTCGATTAAATATTTATGTAAATAAAAGATTACTTGTAATTCATCTACATTGAACCAACTTTTCAATATTAATTAATTTTTATGATGAAGAAATATAAAAATATTGTAATTTTTATAACATAATTCTATAAATGTTCGATTCGAGATTTTTCGGTATGAGAACTTACCTTGTATCGATCACAAATACTGAACCGACCATTCCGTTCGATATTGTACCAGTTCGATAATCTCGGTTTTTCAGCAAATATCGGGATTGATTCACTACTTGTTTACCGTTACCCCTACTTTTTTTCCCTTTTGGGTAGTATACATTATAATGAGTATTTTTTAACTTACGTCCAATTAATTTTAAGGGTATGTTTTGTTGGAGGTAGGTAAAAGTTTTGTTAGATAGGTAATGGTAGGTGATTGAATGTAGGTAATTGAAGGTAAGTAAAGTAAGGTAATGATTTAAAAAATTATGTTTGGATGTTTATTAGGTAAAGTGAGGTAGGAAAAGAATACAAATAAGAAGAGAACCACAACAGCAGAGATGAAAACTATGAGATAAAAACTAAAAAAAGTGAAAATTGAAGCCGGACTAGGTATTGACGAGATGAGCAAAGGACCGATGCGGTCAGATTAGACCGGTCTTTGGAAAAGACTGCTACAGTAAAAGACTGGACCAGACTAGTCTTTTTAAAAACCCGATCCTAACTAGTCCGGTCTTCTTATCAAAATCAAAGACCAAATAAGACCACTAGTCCAATCTAGTCCGGTCGGTAGTCCAATCCGGTCCGGTCTCTAGTCCTAACATATTGGGTCAAGATTGTAGTTTTATGATGTTGTGTCAGGGTTACCAAATAGTCAATCAACTCTTTTTGCATCAGTCGAGATTGCATGTTGCACTTCGTTCGCTCAATCACTGATTCTCTGAGGACATCTCTGATGACTAGCTCTACTGCTCTACGACAGAGTGTTGCGATGCTTGAGTTTATCTTGAAACTCTAAGAAAATACTTAGGGGATAGGGGAAGCTGAGAAATATTAATCATTTCTAATTTGTATTACTCTATATAATTTTTTTAACATTTTTATACGTACTACTTCATATATACTACTCCCTATATACTCTGTAATTTACAAGTAAAATATAATTAGATTCTAGAGGACTAGTTTTTTGGACTAGTCTTAGTCTTTAGATCAATCTTTTACTAGTCTCGGACCGGTTCAGGTCTTTAACATGTCTTTTACTAGTCTTAGACTAGTCCTAGTCCTCTATAAATATTAAGAAACATTTGAGACTACTGGTCTTGGACTAGACTAGTCTCAAGGACTACTTCGGTCCCAATCTATCAAGTCCAAATCCTAGTCGGTCTCGGTCAATCTTTTTGATCCCAGTCTTTATCCTCTTCTCTAATTGAGGAAACATTCTCATAGAGGGGTTCCTGAATCGTGCAACCATCACGTTAATAACACACAAAAAAGAAAAAGGAAAAGAAGAGAAGAGAATAATTCGAAAATAAAAGGGCATACAAAACCAATTTCAGATCGTTAGGAGAAAAATTGGCGATCGGTTTACCTGCTCTGCGGACGACGGAAAGGGCCACAACCGCAGAAAGGGTTTTCCCTGCTCTGCGACGGAAAGGGTGGAGATGGCGATAGGTTTACCTTTGATATTTGGCCAAATTGACGGACACCTAAAATCCAGTGTGTTGAGAGGTAACTCTACCTCCCTCTACCTCCCTTAACCTATCTCAATTTTTGTTACCAAACAAGGTAGAATATTAAATCTACCTCCCTCTTTCCTCCCCTACCTCCAAACAAACACAGTACTAAGTTTCTGAAAGGCTAAAATTCACCATTGGTCCTTCAACTTTATCAATTGTGTACGATTGGTCCTTCAAGTTTTAAAAGTCCAAACATAGTCCTTCAACTTTATGAGTTCTGCACCATTGGTCCTTCAAGTTTTAAAAGTTCATAAGTAGTCCTTCAGGTACACGTCAGCACTCCAGATGAAGTCCTTTTGACAGTAAATATTAAAAGTTAGACGAAATACTAGTTTCATATAATACGAGTAAATTTTACTAGGTACGACTACTCCGTATTATATGGAGCTAGTATTCCATTTAGCTTTTAACATTTACTATCAAAATGACTTCATCTGGAGGGCTGGCGTAAAGTTAAAGAACTATTTATGGACTTTTAAACCTTGAAGGACCAAACGTGCACAATTGATAAAGTTGAAGGATCAAGAGTTTAGCCTTTCCGAAATATCACTCTGAAAATTCCAGAAAAGGGTTTGTTAAGATTGTTTCGTCATTCGATCAAGTTTTTACGTTACTTGTACTTAACGTTCATGCATGTACATTTTAATAAGAATACAAGTTTAAAATGAATGATTTATTTCTCGGGGGATAGTTCCTTGCATTCAAACTCTAGCTCATACACACTTCCGTGGTCGAAATCTCTTGGGTATCCGCAAATGGCTAGAGTTTGAATGCAGGAGATTGTTCCTAGCAAAGTAAATCCTCCATTTTAAACTTGTATTCTTATTAAAATGTGTATTGTATTAATGTTAAAAGCCTTAAAAATTTATCTCCTTTCTTAAAATTTGTTTTTTCAATAGGTGTCCTAACTGTAGCAAAGATAACTACAAAGTACAGACAGTTGAACCTAACAAAACCATCAGTCTATTGCTCATTTATCCTAAATATTTCAAAGAACTCCATGGTTTTCTTGGAGAACATATGGGGTACACCCCACCCAATACAGACCTGTTAGCTCCACACATTTACACACATTTGGGTTTCTTCATCTTCTTTTTTTTGGAGGCTGTGCTCTTTTCTTTAGCAGGGAAGCTTGAACCCCATATATCTCCCACTTGTGTAATCCTTCCACACTCTAACAGCCCCAAGACTTGTCATCAAAACCGTACTCAAAGCCATAACCGTTCCCACGGAGAAAACAATGATCGATGCTCTCCCGTGTCTCTCTATGGCCCTCTGCACTACCACAAGCCCAATGACTGAAGCGACGAAGCAAATGGTCGCAAAGGCCACGGCGCTTCCAATGTGGTCCATTCCCAGTAGCACATACTGAACCACTGACATGGTGGAGGAGAACAGCACCATGAACGAGCAGGTTGCTGATGTGATCTGGCGTTCAAGGAAAGCGGTTAAAAGTAGGGAAAATGGGGAATTTATTAAACGAAGGAGTGGTGGTAATTGAAGGGAAATGTTACTTGAGGCGGTATTCCGAGTTGAATGAGAAGGGGGCTGATGAGCATTCCACCTCCAACTCCAAACACTCCTCCCAAAACCCCTGCCATTAGGGCCATCACTGGGAAAAGGAACTTGTTTGGTCCTTTCCTAGTGTCTTTCTCTTCTTCCTTCACAAAATAAATTAAATATAATGCATACTTGAAAGGTATGATCAAGATTATTAATGATTAGTACTCCGTCAAAGAGATTTAGAGCTTGTTCTCTTCAAATGAGAAACAACTTTAAATAAACCTATAATCAGATCAGAACCAAACAGATCAATGAAAGAGAACAAGCCTTAAAGAACCTGGTCTTGGGAAGATGAAGTCTTCCATCTTTGGTTGTTAAACAAGATCCATGCTGTCAAACTCACAGCAAGAGGTATATGAATTGCTGAGATGATCCAATACACCACTCCACAAGCTTCTATGTGAACAATCCCCTGCATATCATTGCTCTTCTAATGTGCATTCAAATTAACAAAAAAACATAAAAAAAACTAATTCCCAAGTCCCATTTGGTATCATTAGTCCTCTCATACTACTTATCAACATAAAACAAGTACTGTTCGCCTCGTTTATTTGCCCGAAACCCGGTTTTAAGAAACGATTTTCCTTGGATTCAGCCAAAAAAATAAGCACTACCAAACGGGTGCTTTCGCGCAAATGATGGGAACACATACATACATACGTGTCCGTATCGGTTCCCACGGAAAAGATGGAGGGCAAAGAAGCACAACCAGATCATAAGTAACATCCCAAGCTTCATTCCATGGCGGCTCCCATCCACCCTGCAGCACAAGCCATCTTCTTCACAAGACCTCTCTTCTTTATCCACCACCAAAGCAGTCTCCATTTCTGAGTCCCCATTTCTTGTCTCTGTCTCGAGTTTCCAGTACAAAATCCCAGACCTGCAAGTGCTGAAAGTTGACCAGACAAGAAACACCGCGAAGAGAACAGTGATGAGCCATTCTGGGAAAACCCCATTGCAAATCACTCCAATGCTCACTCCCAGCAACATCGACGGCTCCGACAACAAAGCTATGTCTAGATCTACGAGAACCTTCCCCCCTCTCTGCATAAAGAGGTTACAGACAACGTTTGAAACTATTCCTCCCGTTACCATGAATGCCGAGAAACCCGATGCGGTTTTTAGGTCTAATCCGGCGACGATTGTGAGGATCGGGATGTATAAACCCCCGCCGCCGATTCCTCCGGCGCTGGATATTGTGGCGGCTATGAAAGATAGGATTCCGGCGACCACGACCGGAGCTCCCACCGTGAAATTCCCTTCTCCAGATTGGGTCGGGAATTGATGGATTGAATTCGAGAAAATGCCTGCGGCTTCTTCTGCATTGCAAAGAATCAGAAGAATTAGGGGAACCTGGAATTTCAGGATGCCGGAACTATGCATTTTCTCCGGCGGGGAAAAATCAGATTGTGTGCTTTCATCGGAAATTAGAGACAAAGAAGATGCGGAGAAGAACGAGAGTGTGCGGCAATCGTGGCGGAGAAAAGTGTGAGCTCGCCAGGTGTCAGAGGCGCCATGAAATTGCTTCAATCTTCTACAGTTTATCAAGCCAGGAGTTGAGTACCGTCCACATCACCAAAAAGGGATCAATTTTTTGAGTAATGAAAAACATGAAGAAAAGTTATTTGAAAAAATTTCAAAGAAATCAAATAAATTAAACAATAATTGGGGAGAAATGGATTGAATTAAGGTAGTGTTTGGATAGGGGATTTCATTTCAATTTCTGAATTTCAATTCTATAATTTGAAATTCCATAATTCAAATTCCATTTTGGTGTTTGGCAAACACAAGAAATTCAAAATTCATAATTTTAAATCCAAATGCTGTTTGGGAAATTCATAATTTCAATTCTAGAATTCAAATTCTAGTGTTGTTTGGGAAGTACTAGAATTTCATTTCAAATCTTTAATGAATAAAATATTGTAAATACATAATCTCAAATAACATAATGACCAATTGTTTCATTAACAAAATACATACTAATGTATGACAATTAGAAAAAGTATTAATTTGTAGCACATATTTAATATTGCATAGTTGTTCAAAATTCGATCAGTCTTCCATGCAGATCAAAATCCAATCTAGCTTCTCATCTTCAGGCAAGTCCTTGTTCAAAACTTGATCACACTTCATCAGCATCTAGTAGTTCATCTACTGACACGAATCGTTCTTCAACCTACAATAATATATATATATATATATACACACACACACACCGTATGTAGCAGTCCACTTTCTACTACTCTGTATATTACAAAATATAAAAAACAAGGCCATAATAATAATAATAATAACAAATTTTGTTCTTTAAGAAATGGTTTTAGAGCTAACTGGCCGATCCAAAGGAAGCCTCCCAGTTCAACCAGTTTTAGTTTTAGTTTTAGTATGAAATGATTAAAGCTGCACATACACGACACTCCAAACAGAGCAAAGTATTGGATCTCAGTACAAAAGAGTGATCCAAATCTAATAAAAGATACTAAAATGCTAGGGGTACACCAAATGTCTCCCACTCCCTCCCCACTAAAAAAGACAAAATAGTTCCAAAAAAAATAAGTAAATAAAAATCAAATAAAATGTGTGGAGGAAAAAAGGGTGGTGTACATTTGGGGTACACCTTTTCCCTAGCATTACTCTAGAAAATAACATGCATCACTAAATTCCATTGTCAATAGAGTAATAATACTACAGAGGTCACAACTAAGAAGTATTTACTGATGTGACTCACTATATCAGATTTCCTAATCTATGTATGTCCAACCAGTCTGACTATAGAGGTAGATGCTCAGAAATATAAATAGACACTATGGTCATATAATCTTGAATGAATTCTGATATGGTTCACTGCACATTCCATTAGGGGTCTAGATCAAGATCTGTTTATTATCAAAGACAACTGGTTGAGTTATCCCAGCTTGACCCATCCTAGAGACATGCCAAAGAAGAAAAGAAAAAACAGATAATGACTTACTGTGAAAAAAAGTGTTCAAAATTCAAACACAATTATTCCCACCAACACCAACTTTATCTCTGTACTATAGCAACAATAACTGATGATATATGAAAATAAGTAACCTAACAATTCCAGATGCAAGGGCACACACAAGCACACTCAAATGACGCAAATAGGTTGAAACCAGATTCAAAACCATCAGAAAAATCTGATTTTGTGATTCGGGAAAAAAATCAAACAAAAATCGATGCACATTCATTCATTCATCATCCTCAACCTTGGACTTTAATGAAACCATAGCTAGGGTTAAAAAAATGGTTTCTAGATATACCTGGATCGGAGTTTTTAGCTAGGGAAGAAGGAGGCGGTGGACGCGATTCAGACCTAGCCGCTCGGATACTCTCGATCGAAAGAGATGAAAGACGCAAATTGGAGATAGGCGATGGACGAGAAGGATCGGCGATGGACGTGAGAGAGGAGTGAATGTCCAGGCATAATTTTAATTTTAATTGGGCTAGGGAATTCAAATGACATGGGTTTGGTATGAATTTGGAATTGGGTTGGTTATTAATGAGTGAAATTTGGATTAAATCCAAATTCAAATTCTTTAGATTCCCAAACAAGGTATTTGTATCAAATCTGGATTTTAAATCCAAATCCAGTTTCCCAAACAGGCCATAAGAATTGACAGAAATGGAATTAATATTATTACTCCCTATATCTTACAAATTTTATACTCATTATTTGTATAAAAGTAAATTTTACTACCATGTCCCTGATTATTTGTTCAATTTTAACTTTTTCGATTAACCATTTTTTACTTTTGAACTATTATTAAATAAATATATTATATGTTAATTAGATAAAATAATGATATAATAAATCTAATAAAACTATTTTTTTATCAATATCTAATACTATTTTTATTTAAATTATGGTCAAAGTTTACCAATTTTGACCAAAAAAAGTCATAAGTGAACAAATACTCAGGGACAGAGTGTATATATACTTAAAAAAATATATTAAAAGTTATATACTTGATCCGTATAAAACAAGACGTGATATGAAAATAATAATTTATGCGTAAAATAATCAATAAAAACATAGGGTTATATCGAGTTTAAGTTCTCACGCGCCGCCATCTCATTTTAATAAAAACACCGGCAATAATGAGTAGTATTCCCTCCGTCCCACAAAAAAGTTTCCATTTTGACCATAAAGTGGTCAAACAGTTACACGCTTTGACCATAAATTAAATACTCCCTCCGTCCCAAAAAGATTTACACGTTTCAAAAAAATTGTGTCCCACAATCCTTTACTCATTTCTATTAAAAAACCACATTTACCCCTTACTTTTTCAAACCCTACCTATCACATCATACCTTTTTCCTAATAATCTACACATCACATCCTACTTCTACCCATCACATCAAAGGGTATTTTTGAAAAGTCAACACAAAATTATCTCTCCCTTAATTTCAAATTTAGTCAAAATGGATAACACTTTATGGGACGGAGGGAGTATAATCTAAATAATGAAATGCTAAAAAAATTTGAAATATCAAAATTAGATCCTAAGATGAATCAAATTATATTAAATTTATTTTATAATTCAATATACTTTTCTCACAATTTATAGTTAAAACGTGTAAATATTTGACTAAATATTATTCAAAATAGGAACATTTTTATGGGATGGAGGGAGTACAAAATTTGTAAGTTCAAGTTCTCACGCCGCCATCTCAATAAAAACATAGGGTTATATTGATTTTAAGTCCAAGTTCTCACGCCAAATAAAAACATAGGGTTATATCGGGTTTTTATCATTTATAGCGGGTCTTCATTCATTTTTTCTCCAAATCCAAACAAAGGGCCGGGTTAATAACAATCTCATATTTACCACTACCTATTTTGACGTTGCCTATAAAATCATATTTTGTCATTATTAATTTATATCTTTAATATCTTATTATATTTAACACATTTAAAGATAAAACAGAAACTAAAGTCACAAAGAAATCATACATTTCTTAAATCTAACCGATTTCCAAATATGATTTGTTTTATAAAATGGAGGGAGTGCATGTATTACAGTACATAATAACTATTTTCTTTGTTTCATAAAAAATTTTATTTACTCCCTCCATTCTAAAAAAATACTGCTTATTTTTTTGGCTTATAAGTTATTTTCCCTGTTCTTGAGTATTTGTTCACTTTTGATTTTTTTTAGTTAAAATTGGTAAACTCTGACCACAAATTAAACAAAAGTATATTAGACATTGATAAAAAATAATTTTATTAGATCTATTTTTAAAATAGTTTCACAATATTATTTTATATAATTAATATATAAAATATATTTTATTTAATTATATGTCAAAGATTGAAAGCGATTGACTGCATCGTTTCAGGGAAGGGAAGGAGGTAGTCTGTATCTTCTGCATCTTTTCAACTACACATTTTCATTTTTATTAAACTTTGTATACTCCGTAATATCAACTCAAACAAAAATAGTCTTTTTTTAGGGTCCGTTTGGTACACGGAATTGATGGAATTCGAATTGAATTAGAATTAAAATTCCATGGGATTCAATTCTATAGAAATTGAATTCACCAATTCCAATTCATTTTTTGCACTACCAATTATAAATCTACATAATTTTTGTGCTACCAAACACTAGAATTGGAATTGAAGTCCTCAATTCTAATTCCATAGTTTGAAAATGGGGCCTTAGAAGGAGGCTAGTATACTTTTTAACAACTTTTTTTTCAATTTTGTAATTAAAATGAAAGAAATTAAATTGAAAGAGTCGGAAATTTTATGAGATAAGAGAGTTGAGTGTCATGATTTTTGCAATTTTCATGGCAATAAATGTAATCAGGTTCAATTAGTTGAAATAAAGTGGGCAAATCTTGTCTTTATATGCCGGTAGAATGTTGCCATCCTCTCCGACGCCGACCATGCACTTGGCATGCATCCTATGTTGCTTCGTGCTCCACCAGCTAGCCACCTTAAACCGAATCCCCGACGTCACCTCCAGCCGGAAAAGCACCAACCCACGCGACGCCCCGCCGACGAGCCCCGCCGTCCGGTTCAGCGCCGCCGCCCCTCCCATCGAACCGGCAAAGACCGTCGTGTTCTTCGGCTGCTGGAAGAACCGCTTAGGAAACGAGGCGTTCCCTATGACCTGGTCCTCGTACGTAACCGCCACCGTAACGGCGTCGTACCGAATCCCAATAGCCTGGTTGGAGTTCCTCACCGTCACGTTGAAGTTGATCCGCTCCGCCGCCGCGCCCTGCTGGGGCCCGCTTCCAGACCGGGAGGAAACCGGGAAAGAGAAGTCCTCGACGCGGACTCTGGGGCGGTGGGGCCGGAGGCTCAGCCACAAAACGAACGTTATGAGGGTGACGATGGCGAGAAGGCCCAAGACGATGGCGCAGACGAGCTTGGTGGTTCTGGTGGCCAGGCTTTCCTTCACGCGGTGGTAGTAATGGGTGGCGGCGCGTGAGAACTTGGACTGTCTTATTGGATGGACGGCGGCGTTTGTGCCGCCGCTGTGGATGGGCACATCATAATTACTTCCATGATCCATTTTCTTTGTAGATTGTGCAAATAGAACTTAGAAAAATTTACGTATCAATGTTATTATTAATTATATCATTTATATGACCTATTATTACGTGAGAAGTAAATGTACTTTAATTTCTTTGTAATGGTCTCACTTTAATTCCTATAGAATTTACGTAGAGAAAGAAATAAACTTTTAACGATAAATGTGACGTAGGAATAAAGTAATGCCATGTTGAATCCGTCCGTAGGAGAAAAGAACCCAAACTTAGATAGTTGTGCTTTAGTCCTATCTCTCGCTACCTCATACACCCCCTTCCATAAAACCTTTTTTTTTTTTATGTTTTTTTCAAATTCTCTAAAATACTACCATTTTCTATTAAAAAATCACTTTTATACCTACTTTTTCATACCCTACCTATCACATCATACTTTTTCACTATTAACCAAACTATCATATTTTACTTTTTTCCATCACATCAGGGGCAAAATTGGAAAGTCAACCAAAATTACACTTTCCTTATTTTGGCCCAAACTCAAAATGGGAATGGTTTTAAGGAATGGAGGGAGTATATCTTGGCAAACATTATTCACAATGTCAAAATTTCGCATATTTTTATTAAGAGTAAATTCTATATTTGGTCCTTTATAACAGGGGTTTCCCTATTTAGTCCTCTATTATCAAATATTACCTCAGTGGTCCTTCTTTTTTGGGTACCTTTCCACAAATAGTCTTTTTTGATCTTCTATCATGTTAGTGTTAATTTCAGGGCTAAAAGTGTAATTTCACAATGATAATATATTTTTTTTTGTCATACACATATCCAAAGGTTATTCCGTTTGCGTCGTTTGTGAATTACAGTCGCTTTTTATGACAACGATAGTCTACAAATGTGATCTTTCGCCATAATCCTAACCCACAATCATAGTCATTATTTTTGTGTTATCCGCTTAACCAATATCAGAACACGTCACTAGACATAATGTTGATGTCAAATTATACTATTAGCCTTTAAATTAACACTAACACGGAGGAAGATAAAAAAAAGGACCATTTGTGGAAAGGTACCCTTAAAAAAGGACTACGAGGGTAATATTTGATAATAAAGGACTAAATATGGAAACCCCCCTGTTATAAAGGACCAATTATGGAATTTACTCTTTTATTTCGGAAAATAATATACTCTTATGACTTTTTGTTTCAAAAAACATTCCATGTAGTCATGTTACATCATGTTCTGTATATTTTTTGATATTGTTTTTAAATATTACGGAGTATTTTTTATTCTACCTATTGAATATTAGAATATTAATATTTGCTCATTAAATTATGAAGTGCATGATAGTCTATATATAGCAGAGACTTCTAACACCACTAGAAATAAAAAATGGAGACTAAATAAGGAGGGTTGATTTTCCGAGAGGGACGAAGAGACTACATTTTTAGAAATAAAAAACAACTCAATAGAAAACTTAAAGCCCAGTTTGAACATTGTAGACTTTATTAGCCTATATACTAGACGAGCACATGCAACTTAGGAACTACGGAGTATAAAACATTCTTTTAGGAAATTAATTAGGCCCACTTCTACACAAATTAAAACAACTCATAAATGATAAAATCCCCAAATGCCAACAAACAACAATATATAATTCGCCCATTCAAAGAGTCATTTCTTGTCCAAACACCACACATGCATCACCAATTTCTTTTCCAAGTGATGATCGAGCTATATATATATATGTATATATATATATATATATACATATACATATATATCTGTGTGTGTATACACACACACCCACAAATATATATATATATATATATATACATATATACATATATATATATATATATGTGTGTGTGTATATATATATATATATATATACACACATATATAGAATATTCCCGTTAATTAATTCAGTTGATTATTCACCATCTCCATCTCTATCCAAAACTCTTCCTATATTATTGTATATATAACCCATGCACATCCAATTATGGGGTAAATAATTCTGCTTAATAATTATCTATGTCCATATGTGATATGTGATCCAAATATTCCTGAAGTGGAAGATATTGGTTGAAGTGCTTGGCAGGTAACTAGTGTGTTAGGGAACCAACACAACTAAAAGCTTAAGTTTGTGGTTGTGGCCTTGAAAATGTTTCTTATTTTCTAACATGTCACCTCACGTGCAGGCGAACTGCGTTTCGAATAGTCTTTTTTGAGTCTTGCACGTAAAACCTTAACTTTTTAAACTTGGGTGGCGTTGCATTTCGAACTCATCGTGAGCTCTTACTCAACAAGATCCGATACGATGTCAAGGAACCAACTCAACCAAAAACTCAACCTTGTGATTGTAATCCAAGAAATATTTTTTACGGAGTATATTCTAACTGTCTGATATCCGAAGTAATTAGTTAGCTAGGTTGGAGTAGAAGATAAATTTTGTTATAAGCTGTGTATACTGGTTGAGGCTGCTTGAAGGAAAAGTTTCAACCTCCCTTATAAATGATGATGATGATGATTTATATGAAGTCAAGATGATGATGAAATCACTTTTGAATATATATTTAATTTCTTTTATATCATGAAATTAAGTTGACTTTTCTTATATCAGACACCCTTTTCCTCACTAAAAGAAAATTAAATTAATTACTCCACAGCGTTTAATAGAGTAAAAATTGTAATGCTTTGATCATAAATTATGATGATAAATTAATAGACTCCCTTTATCTCAACAAAGATGTCAAATTATGCAATACTTTGATTATAAATTAGGAACAAAGTATACTTAGTAATAATATAAATTTAGTAAAAATTATATTTACTTTAAAATATGCTATTGATATATATAATTTTTATAACATTTAAATATTTAAAACTATATTTTATTTGTATTCAAAGTGTTGGATAGTTTGGCCAAAAAAGTCAAAGTATGGTAATTTTTTGGGAATAGAAAAGGGAATTAATTACCTTTTTTATACGAATGAAAAAGAACGATATACAACTTCCGTGCTCAAGTATTTGTCCAATTTTTTTTTTTTGCAGTTAAAATTGAAAAACTTCACTACTATTCAATAAAAATTTATGTTAGAAATTGATGTAAGAATAATTTTACTTGATTTATCATGAAAAATATATTTAAAATATTGCCTTTTAAAAACAGGGAGGAAATGGACGGAGTAAGAGCATCTCCAACCATTGAGTTTTGACTTGTTAAATGTCATTATTTGGCAATTCATTTCAATTTTTGTGCTCCAAGGGGCTTGCTATATTAAAACACACTTGGTAAATTTTAACTTTGGCTTGTCATATATAACAAGTCTCTCAAAATATAGCAAATCATGATATTGATTAAATATTTGATTTCTCTCTTATTTTCTCTCATGCTCCTTCTCAAAATATTTTGTTACTTCAACTCTCTAATTTTTTTTACTTTTTGTAAAGTTCTTTTCTCTACTCTTTAATTGCTATTTATTAAATATTTAAAAAAATGCTTTTTATATTTTATTATTTTCCCTAAAGTAAAATATTACTCCGTATTGTTTTTTGAAATTATTATTTTTAAATTACATAATTATTACTCAATTTTTATAATATAAATAATAATCGAATAATTATTATAAGGAAAGTATTATAATAGTGAAAAAAATATAATATAATTGTTAGCTAAATTATAGAAAGGAAATGTTGGAGATGACAATGTAAAATGACTTGCTATACCACTATTCACATGCTAAAAAATAACTTTAGCAAGTCATTTTAGCAAGTGTGATTGGAGATGCTCTAACTAAGTAAGTGTATTGTAGGAACAAAATGGAGGAGTAATTAATGCAGGACAAAATATAGGAGATATTTTGAGATTCGTTTGGATTTGCTTGAATTTGAATTTTTTTTTCAAAAATGAAAAAAAAAATTAGGTGTGCCTATAAGTACGTGTTTGGTCATGATGTGAAATGAGTTGGATGAAGTTGGGGTGGAGTGGGATTCCAAACAACCCATAACTTCCATTTTCAGCTTGACTCTTCCATTTTCCATATACAGTAATACTAACCATTTAATAATATTTCTTCTAATCTGTTCCCATATCTTCATCTTCATCTTCTTCATTTGGTATATAAATACACTGTATTTTTTAAATATTTTTTATGAACTAAACAATATTTTTATTTTCCCAGGAGAAAATTAAGATCATAATGGGGTCTTCCCTGCAGAAAATACCCATTCATGACGATCGAACGAGCGAGAGCTTTGTTGTGGACATGGAACACTTCCCTCATCATCTCTTGGAGAAAGACCTCTCCCAAAATTCAAAACATTCTAAGGTAAGTTCTTTTTTTTTTTTTTTTGAGATTTTAAATTAAAAACTATGGCCTTGTTTATTTGGAAAAAGCGTTTTCAATTATCGTTAGCATTTTGGATAAAATTTAAATGGTGTAGATTAATTCTGATCGAAAACGCTAACGCTAAAGCCTACCGTCAGATAGTCTTTTCAACGTTAATCTCTAACACTGACACCAAACGAGACCTCTATCCTCTGTCCTAAAACTATCTTACTGTTCACAATTTACTTGGTTGAATTTTATCCATTTTGTCACTCTACTTTTATTGCTTATTTTTATAAAATATTATACAGTAGTCATATCAGTACCTCTAGTTTCTTATACGGAGTATTTTTAATGTACAAGTACTCCCTCCGTTCCAGAGTATTTGTCCACTTTTATTTTTACACATCATACAATACACTTCTTTAATCTATTTTATCTTGTAATTTGTATATTAAAAAATTATAGACATTATATATTAATAATCTATATGTTAAGGCAAATCAAACAAGACCACACATGACTATATTTAGCCTTACACATTGAGAGAGTTTGATGAGTCAAAGTGCTTAGATGAACAGTTCCAAAAGTTAAAAGTGGACGAATATAGCGGGACGGAGGTAGTAATTTTTAAATATATGAGGAAAATTTTTAATTTTAAGTTCCCCATCCAACAATATTCTACGGAGTAATAAATTATACGGAGTATTGATTTGAAAATAATTTCAATCAAAGATTGTAAAACACAACAGGAAATTAGTTTTAAGATGGAAGGAGTGTAATATTATTCGTTTTGGGTCAATAAAAAGAGAAAAAAGAGAATTTTGTTTCATTTCACAAAGTAGTTTTTCTCAAGTACCATTAAAAAAACTTTTTTCTGATAATTAGATAAAAGAGTTTTGTCGCAATTCAATTTCTGAATAAGTAAGATTGCAAAAAGAGTATCACATCAATAAAATAAATGAAGTTAGATTAATATGGTGGATTGGTGGGTATATACATCTTATATCTATTTTAGTCATAATATGCATATGGTTGTGTGAGTCCATATATTATTGAGTAATTTGTACTGAATAAGACTAATAAAATTTTATTCTTTAAATAAGACTTAATAATGACGAGTGAGAAGAATAATGTTCAAATGATGCTCGACACTTAGTTGAGTAATGACTAATAGATAATGAACAGTTGTCCAAAATTAGGAAATAAAAACATATGATCTTATATTGAAAAGATCATTATGTTTTAGTCCTATTTATGTAAATTACTCTACATTATTGGTAGTTTTGCAAGCTTTATAAAATTATCTGATCCATGCATCCATTATTTTTAAAAATTGCAAATAATTATCAACCACCAAATTTACAAGTACAGAAACTCTATCTTAGATATTGTGCACTTCAATTATTTATATTATCGTGTGAGATATATAATTATTAGTTTATTTTGGATTATTCGTATTAAATAAAAGTTGCAGAGAAGTCTTTCAAGAAAAGGAACAATGAGAATCAGTGAAAAGAAAAGCAATCCCAAAGGATCAAATGAGAATGGCATGGAAACTTCATCGAGAGGTAACCATATGACCATTTACCGTTAACTTTTACTCCCTCCCTCCAGAAATATTCTTCTCGTATTGACTTGGCACGCTTATTAAGGAATAGTAAAAAAATGCAAAATTTTCAAAAATGCACATACTATAAACTTTTAAATCTCCTTTTATTATGAAAAAAGTACTAAAAAAGTAGATTTGTGATAAAATAGAAGGGTATTATTGATATTTATCCTTAAAAAGTATACTAAAAAAGGAAATGGGAAGAATATTTCCGGACGGACCAAAAAGGAAAGTGAGAAAAATATTTTCGGACGGAGGGAGTATTATATTCAATCAGCCATATATTGACCAAATTCACTCTATTTATAGTTCCTTCATCCTAATTTATAGTGCATGTTTACTATTCAAAGTCATATTTCATTCACTTTTTTTTTATCTATTTTCGTTAGCAACTTGATAAAATAAAATACTATTATCACTCCTAGTTTTGTAAATCTTTTGACTTTTGGAACTGTTCATCTAAGCACTTTGACTCATCAAGTTCTCTCAATGTGTGAGCCTAAATATAGTCATGTGTGATCTTGTTTGATTTGTCTTAACATATAGATTATTAATATATAATTTCTATAATTTTTTAATATACAAATTACAAGATAAAATGGATTAAAAAAGTGCATTATATGGGATGGTGTGTAAAAATGAAAGTGGACAAATACTCTAGGACGGAGGGTGTAATGGATATATAAGTTCTGGAGTTGAATTAAATAATCGATTGAATTCAATATTATGGCCCAATTCAATAAAATAATGTGGTTCAACTCAAATGTCTTATGACTCGGTTGAATAACCATTTCCGCATCCTAAATTCTATCCTGGATCCGATCGAGCAGATTTGGTCCACCTCGTTTGTCAAAGTATTTGTCTAGACGTTCATTCATAGCGACCACAGTCTTTAACCCAGTTGTATGTCATGTGTGGAATGAATTACCAACGGCTATGACCCGTTCAATCCGATTACTCGTCTAGAAGTCTATATCCAGCGATTTGTGGTCTTTTAGGTGTAGGCACTCAAAAAAATAAGAGAAGGGGAAGTTCATTTGCAACTGATCAACCAGTTAGATTCAAAATTGTCTGATTGTTTACTTGAAGGAAAGTGTTAAAGAGTATTCCACATCGGAAAAGTGAAAAAAAAATAGTATGTATATAAGCTCTTGAATTGAACTAAATAGTTGATTGAATTTAATCCTTTAATATGGTTAAAATCAAGTTTCTTATATATGATCCAATTCAATAATCTTTTCCTCATTTTAAATTTTATAAACTTCCTTACCAATATATTCTCGAAGAGTTTAATACACTGCGACCTCCTGTGATTTGGTAACTGTGCATCATTACTCCATATGGTTTCAAAACTTACGTTGTTGCCCCTTATGATTATGATTTTCTTACGTCAATGCTCCTCTGGACTAAAATATTCTTCAAATATTATGTGTAAAAAAAACCGTAGGGGACATTGGAAACCATATGGGTCATTGGAGTTATTTACCTAATATTTGAAGGATATTTTTATCCAGAGCGGCATTAGCATAGCTATATCACAACTAACGACGTAAGTTTTGAAACTATGAGTGATAACTTAGCCTTTACTAAACTAAAGGCCGTTAGGTGGAATAAAGTCTATTCTTCAACCTTTTCTAACTTTCCAATCCTAATAAAACACATCACAAACGGAATTTATATTCCATCCTCATGTGCTAAAACTGCATGCAGGTGCTTCACATGATCAGTATCCAACCACGCAAGAAAAGCTAAGGGAAGTGACGGTGGGGGCCACCGATAACTGCGCTCCCCAAATCCACCATAATCAGATAACAATCACGGCAGGCGGCGGCGGAGGCGCCTCCCCGGCGGCACAAAGCTTACTTACCGGTGTCCGACGGTTAAGCTTTAGGCGGCCGCCTTCGTCTCCTCATCCTTGGACGGCCGCTGTCATCGATCCCAGAAGGATTCTTTTCGCGTTTGCCACCCTGTAAGTCCGTTACGTGCCCAAGTGGGCATCAGTGCATGCATATTAGACAAACTTAAGAGCTCAATTAAATAAAAATCCTACTCGGGTAATATATACATATCTATTATTATAAAAAGATTTTAATATATTTATCTTGTTGAAAACTTTAAAAATTTGATTTTAGTGTATTAATATGTAATACAAATTGAGAGTAATTGATGATTAAATTCTGTCTAATTTGACTCAAAATAGTCAAACTGGACGAATAAATTGAGATGGAATGAAGTGATAGTATTTACCTTGCAAAATATTGTTTCATGATCATCATCCGGTTTATTTGATTCTTTCCAATTAAATAAGATGAATTTTTCCGATTAGTAAAATAAATACGAAGTATTTCTTATGTTGAGAGTAACTTTTGATCTATAATTAGATAGGCTAAACTCCACCATTGGTCCTTCAACTTTATCAATTGTGCATGATTGGTCCTTCAAGTTTTAAAACTCCGTAAATAGTCCTTCAACTTTATGAGTTATGCACGATGGGTCCTTCAAGTTTTAAAAGTGCATAAATAATCCTTCAAGTACACGTCGGCCCTCCAGATGAGGTCTTTTTGATAGTAAATGTTAAAAGCTAAATGAAATACTAGCTCCATATAATACGGAGTAGTCGTAACTACTGGAATTTACTCGTATTATATGAAACTAGTATTTCGTTTAACTTTTAATATTTACTGTCAAAAGGACTTCATATGGAGGGCTGACGTGTACCTGAAGGACTACTTATGGACTTTTGAAACTTGAAGGACCAATGGTGCAGAACTCATAAAGTTGAAGGACGATTTATGGACTTTTGAAACTTGAAGGACCAATCGTGCACAACTGATAAAGTTGAAGGACTAATGGTGGATTTTCCTAATTAGATATAAATTGCATGGTATATTAAATTGATAAAATAATATTTTGAAGATATGGTACAAGATAAATATAATAAAGTTATTCTTGTACGAATATTAATTATAAATTTTGTTTGATTAATGGTTAAAGCTTATCAATTTTAATTGAAAAATTTCAAAAGTGGATAAAAATTTCATATATTAGTATAAATATGATTACATTATACTTTGTGTCTAAAAATTTCTTTCCTATTTAATTTCTCACGATTCCTAGTGCAATATTTTGATAATTGGTATCTTTATTTATATATTAATATATTATACAAAACATACGATTTCCAAACTGTATTTCAAAATATTCTATTAATATTAAATTTATATGATAAACCAATGTATTTTTTTAAAGAATTTGATTTAAAAAAAGTGAAGCTAAGAAAGAGATTTATGGACGGAGGGTGTATTTATCTTGTACTTATTTTCAAAAGCTATTTTTTACATTGATATATGGAGTACAATATAAAATTAATACAGAGTATTAATTTAGTTGATATAATTAAAGAATGTCTAATTGAACTCTAAGAAATCAAATTAGACAAACATATTATGAGCATTAGGTTTCTCGATCAATCACAATGATGATCCCATGAATATATGCATATATGCAGGTCTAGCATAGGAACAATGTTGCTCATATACTTCACACTATCCTTGAATCTTGAGCCCATTGAAGATCAAACTAGTGTTCTTAATTGATTCATTAAGACTCTATCATCATCATCATCATCAAAGTTTTTATGACCAAGTCAAAAGCAAGATTAGCAAGATGAAGAAATCAATTATTTATCTCATTCTTGAAAGTGAAAATGTATATGCATAGTGGATATTGTTGGTTGTATATGCATTCTACTCCTTTCATTCCAGAACCAAATTCATCATTCGGATTACGAAATTCGAGAAAAAGTGTTAAAACATAGTGTATATAAAGGTGGGGATTAGAACTTATTTATGTGGAACAGAATATCGTTGTTAGTTCCACATTGTGTTGGCATTATTTTTTGACAAAATAATGGAATTATCTAGAATTATTTTAAATGTTTTATTTAGAATTAGAGTCCTAGCATGTGAAGAAAGAGGAAGAGGAAAGAGCTTGAAGAGAGAATTCTAGTCCTACTTGGATTCTAATCCTACTTGGTTGGAGACCATGGTTGAGAATCCTAAGCACACTCCAACATGGCTATTCTATTCTATTAATATCTTCACCCTCCCTTAGGGTTTTGTACGTGAAAAACTACGAAGAACCTGAATCAAGTTCGATCAAAAAGAAAAACAAGGTGCAAAATTAGACAGTGCAAAGTTTCTGGACAGCCGCACAGATTTGATCATCGCTGAAGATCCGACCGTTGGATTTCGCTGAAATTTTCATAGAGTGTTCGCAACACATAGGGCTTCAACGTGTTCAAATTTCACGTCAATCGGAGTTACAAATCTTCTGTTATCGAAGTTACAATCTAGACACTGTTGCTGATTTTTTGTAGAAAACACTGCCTTGGTTTTCTCGATGGTTGGAGTACCAAATCTTGTCTGATCGTGCTGAAATTTTAGGAGGAGTCTAAGGACTCGTGAAGCTTCAATCTGAACGGTGGAGATCGAATTTCAACGGTTCAATCTCGAGTTATGAGCTTCTGAACAGCCTGCATATTTTTGTAGATCAAGAAGAATCTTTATTTGAAGGTGTATTGGAATCTACGGCCTTGAAGAAGATCTTTGAGAAGGTGTAACAAGCCGTGGAGATAGACGCAAACCGAGTTTGTCGTCAAGTCATTCGTAAGTAGACAAATCAATATATTAGAAGGTTCTGTTGTGATTGATTGTGTAATTCTTACGGTGATTTAGTGGAAGGGCTATTACACGGACGTGGGCCTTGCAGACGTAGGAGAATTTGCTCCAAACTGCGTGAACAATTCTGGTGTCTTGCTTGCTGTTTTACTTCATATTTTACGTGTGTGCTTGTGACAGAGAGGTGTTATAGCACACTGTCCGTCATCTGTTACTGGACAGTGCTGCAGCGTCTTCTCTGCAGCATAGTGGATTGATTTGTTTGCATAGCTCTTAATTGGTGTTATCCGCTGCGCCCCCACGAACTTACAATTGGTATCAGAGCGCTTGAGCTTAAGTTATTAGCTTGATCTTTGGGTGGTTCGTTGCAAACAATCATGGTGATCTCTTAAAGAGTTAGCGCACTTGATGAAGCAAGATGTGGTTATGATGCATATCCTGAGGGGGAGTAAATTACAGAAAAGGATGAAGCTCCAGCAGATTCAAATGGGAAGTACGTGCATGGATCGTAATGGTAGATATTTTTTTGTTTTGCGCTTGTGATTGTTGTATGCTCTTAAAAGAACTTGGTATTACTTTTCTTTTTTACCCTTAATGAGATTGGCATATTTTGTGTCAAAAAGGGGGAGAAAAGGCTTAGTTCTTGAAAGATGCTTTAATATTTTATGCGCATGGTGCACGATGTATTTTGCCAAAAAATTGCCAAAGGGGGAGATTGTTAGTTCCAAGGTGTTGGCTAATCTTTTGGCAAAATAGAATCCCATATTTGTTAGATGTTTTACTAGGTAGAAACCTTTATTTGTTAGGAGAGGTTTATTTTATTTAGACTTCTAGAGCTGCTGCAGTTTTTGAGGTTGACGCAGACGATGCTACAGCACGATGCTGCAACACACAGTTCGGGATCAGAGGTCTGAGCACGGGATTTTAAGCTGCAATCTGATATAGAGACCTATTGGGACTGAGATTACATGATAATAACTCCAGCTGTGCATGCTAAGGAATCCCAACTCTGTAGGCTACTTGTGGATCAAGAATAAGGAAGTAGAGTTCAAGCCAACTTCTACTATCCTATTCCTACTAGGATTGTGTTGAGAGAAGCCTATAAATACGCAGCAGGTCCTTGGGAATTACTTGGAGCGATTGAGAGGGAAAACAAAGAATATACGCTGATGCAGAGCATTCCCGTCGCGTCCCGGAGCTTCCCTTGCGTGAAGAAGGTTACGATCTACATGAAGAAGGAGTCCTACAGTGAAAAACAGATCGTGACGTCCAGAAGATGAACAAGAGCTGAACGAGTGGGCTGCCAACACGTTTGTCCTCGTGATCTCGGTGGAGATGTGATAGCCGAAGCAGATCTGAACAGAGTTCGGGTTAGAAATCCTAGATTAGAAGTTTTGTCATAGCAATTCGGAGAAGGGTGTCTCATCATGTTGTTATGTACCGGTGTAACTTGCATCTAGTGATTTAGTGGAGGGCTATTACACGTACGTGGGCCCCGCAGATTAGGAGAGTTTCTCCAAACTGCGTAAACATATATGGTGTTATTTTTACGCTTTTTACAGTTACAAGATTCTGCCCAGTAGGCGCTCTAACACCCTCTGCGTCATCTGCTTCTGTGTGCGTGCTTGTGACAGAGAAGTGCTATAGCACACTGTCCGTAATCTATTACTGTGACAGTGTTGCAGCGGCTTCTCTGCAGCATATGTGATTGATTTGTTTGCATAGTTCTTATTGGTGATTTCCGCTGCGCCCCCACGAACTTACAATCGTAAGAACCATAGATTTCATTTATAAAACTAGAAGAAAAATATGAATTTCTTGATGTAACAAAAATGTAAATTTGATAAGGGGATGAAAGAAATACTATACATAGTACTCACCAACTGGCCTTGGATACTCGAGTTTGTACTTGTAAATAAAGCTAATTTAAAGTTGAAACACAAATACTATACTTTACATAGCTAGCTGGTCTAGAAATAAAATAAGAGAAATTTACCTAAATAGCACTAAAACATAATGACTTTTTCTAAATAACATCATATGTGTTTTTTCCCAATGTAACATTTTTAGTCATTATTCATTAGTTATTATTCAACTAATTGTTCGCCATCACTGGACATTATTTCTCATTCTGGGCATTATTAAGTGTTATTTAAGGAAAAAACAATTTAAGTGTTATTTAGAGAAATAACTTAAGTTTTAATGCTATTTAGTGCAAATATTTCATTAAATTAATGGTTTGATATCATCAAGTTTAAAAAAAGTGTGATTAACGAAAATATTTATTACTCCGTATTATAATTTCTTAAAAGGTTAGAGAAAGATTGTGAACTACAAAAAAAAGTACCATATTTTACATTCTACAATAGAAAAAGAATGTATTATGTTCATCAAGAGTTCAATTCTTTAACTTTGTTTTAGGATGAAACTTTAACTTTGTTTTAGGATGAAAAAGAATACTCCATCAAATCGAACCATTATTTTTCTCTTGTTTTGTTTTTCATAATCTTCAGTTAATGCAGTATTTTGGATCAGTACTATTTGTAATTTTACATAAAACGATATAATAGAGAGGAAGAATATAATGGAAGAAGCTGCTATTGGCAGACACCACTAGCTTATTATTAGTAATATATCTCAGGCTACCTTTTGTTGACAATATAATGGAAGACACTGTGAACATGCAATGCATTTGCAAGGGTACGTATTGCAGGGAATCTTCAATGACACTATAATCACTACTCCAATATAATATATAAGCATATAATTAACTAATTAAATAAGGTGGTTAACTATGCATTGAGATAAGTTGAAACCACACATGATGCGCATGCATGCCTTATTGGAGTCTTTGGAGAGCTACCCACTCATCTTTTACAACAAAGGATGAAGGGCCACTTGTTGGGCTCTCATAAAATAAGTGAAAAGTGTTGCCTCCTATTTATAATAGAAGAGGCTGAACACTTAGGTCCCATTCCGTTCAACTTATTTTTTCTAATTTTTTCTCATTCTTATTAAAATCAGATCAGACCAGATCAGATCAGATCGAATCAAATCAGATCAAATCTAATCTGATCTGATCTGATCTGACCGAATCAGATCAGATCCCATCAAGAATTATAATAATAATAATAATAATAATAATAATAATTATTATTATTAAAAATGAAAAAGAATAAACTTTAGAAACAAGTTAAATAGAAAACTAAGAAAGTAATCCTTAATTATTAGACGTCGAAAAAATTATTTTTAAAATACATTGACAATGTCAATCTAATTTAACTTTTAAAACACAATTTTATTGCTACCTGTAATTTAATTTTCTAAACCTTTTGTCTTTTATAAGGATGAGATATTTTAATAATAATACTATATCTTCTATATATTGATGATCTAAATTTAATTACTTTTTGAGGAATATATAAATTAATTATTTATTCTAATGTATATATGAACTAATTATTAAAATGCTAAATCAATATTTTTATTTCACCAAAAAATAATGATAAAATAAAAAATATTATTACTATATAATATGAATGATTATTCTAATATATGAATTAACTAAATTTGTTATATTAAAAAATAATAATAATAAAATAAAAAATATTGATTATATTATAATATGAATTATTATTACAATTTTTAAACTTTATTATAAAGTCAAATCAAATTATTGATTTGAACTTTAAATAAAATCATAATTGATCAGATTAGTTCAAACTAGACCAGATCAGATCAGATTCAATCAGATCGGATCAGATGGAATCAGATCAGATCAGACCAGATCAGATCCAATCAGATCCAACCAGACCAGATCAGATTCAATCAGATCAGACCAGATCCGATCAGAACTACAAAAAATCAGATCAGATCAGAAAAAATAAGTTGAATGGAACGGAGCCTTGTACTACTATTAGTAATAGTAGAAGAAAAAATAGTAGCGTTTGTTTTATGGACGTAGCCCCAACGTTTTGGGTGAAGCACGTTGAATCTTTGGTGTCTTACTTTGTTCTCTGTTTGTACCTTCTAGTTTTATTATATTCCCCTGCGCAACCCCAACAAATTGTATTAGAGCTCAACAATTGATATTGGGAGTTGGGACCCAACAAGTGGTATCCAAGCTAGATCCAACTTTGGGCAATCTGATCGGAGCTAGGTCGAATAGTGGGGAATCGAAGCCTGGTTCAATCTTGGGTGATTGAGCCATGTCCGACCTTGGGGCAATGGAGGTGAAGACGAGTAAAATGATCAATCTGAACAGTTTAAACTACCGTATTTGGAGGAGCAAGATGAAGGATCTTCTCATGGTCACCAAGATGCACTTACCGATATTTGCTACTGTCAAACCTGAAGAGATGTCTGGAGAACATTGGAAGTACGAGCATGAATGATTTTGTGATTATGTTCGATGAATAACATTTACAATCATAGGTGTAACAAAACTCATGCTAGAACTATATATGTAGAACAAGCTAGAGCAGTTGTATGCTTCAAAGACCGACAACAACAAGCTTTTTTACTTGACACAATTAATGCAAGCAAAATATGAAGAAAACACCTCTGCTGTAGCTGATCACCTGAACACCATAGAAGGGATCGTGGATCACCTGTCATTCTGTCAAAGATAAGCATCTTGTTTGAAGATGAGGTACTTGCTCTTATGATATTATATATATTAGCTTCATTATAGTGTCGTGAGAAACTCTGAAGGTGTCGTTGGCAAACCCTGCACCCAATATAATGGTGTAGTGAGCATGGAAGTTGTTAAGAAAGTGTTTTATACTCCCTCCGTTCTCAAAAACACTTCCTCTTTCATTTTTTCCACTTCCAACAACAAAACATTTCCCCTTTCTATTAAAAAACCACTTTTACCCTTACTTTTTTATACCATATATACCTATCACATCATACTTTTTCTCTAATAATCTATCCATCACATCTTACTTTTATCTAGCACATCAGGGGCAAATTTGGAAATCAACTATAATTTAACAATTCCTTATTTTTGCCCCCAAATCAAAATGGGAAGTGTTTTTGCAAATGGAGGGAGTATGATACATTTTTACCCCACCTCAAATGTTTAAAATACTCCCAAAATAACTTCTACTCAAAGTAAGGAGAAATTGGGTGAATTTTTGACATTATAAATGTAGGTAAAAGTGTTTTATATGGTACACAAATAGAGAAATTAAACCTTAACATCTTTCAGGGACGGTGGGAGTACTAAACATTCTAATGTTAAGTACCTTTTTGTAAAGGTGCTCGATAAAAACTTTACATTTGAATGTCTTGTTTTATACGTTCAAATGTACATTACTTTGAACTTCGTTTATGAAAATAGATAAAACTTTTAAAAAGCAACTATGTCTAAAATAAGTATTTTCCCAAGCTGATTTGCTAGGGGGTGTTGCCTCGAAGTTCTAATATTGTAGAACAAACGTGCATTTTGCATCTTCAAACTCGTTAACAACGTCCATTAAAATTTGCATTCATTCGAAATAAACCCATTAATACAAAATAGTTGATAACACTAAAATTTCCAACAATTTCGAGGGTGCAAATTGAAGGGGTCCATGGTGGGTTTGAATCGGGCTCTGGTGAAGATTTATTGGGAGATTATGGGCCGGGGTAGATATCATCTATTTTTTGAGCGGAACAAGGTAAATCCGCCAAAAAGATAGTGGCACTGTAGTGTCAACGGTAACCGCCGCCAACAAAACCGACCTCATTACGTAAACATGCACAATAAATTGGAATGAGACAAAAAATAAAAAGAAAAAAATTAGACACACAAAACGTTAAGAAATATTTGACAAACTTACATAATTGGTATGTTATGAACGACAACAACAACGACGACGATGATAAAATATAAAACACTGAGTACAAGTAATTTAGGGAGGGGAAATAAGAAACCTAAGAAGGCCAAGTTTTTGGCCCAAGTTCTTGACGTCCTCTTGCACTTGCCGTTTGTATTCTCCAAATGTAAATGGTTTATAAATAGGAGGCTGAGAATAACTGTTGATTAACGTATCGTCCGATGGGCAAAAGAAGAAGGCTGTCGAAAATCTCTCTTTGGTTTGGTTGGGAAAAACCCGGTGCTCAACACTTTTGTAAATCCCATTGCTCCATGCCTACACATACACAATCTTATTAATCTCGATATAATTATGTGTTCAAATTTCAATACTCCCTAGTATGTATGTCAAAGACTAATTGTATCTTACTAATTGTAATAAGAAAGAGTTTGGTTATGTTTAGATTTAATTAATTAGATACCAATTGTAAAAAATAGGCAGAAAAACTTGGTAAGGTACTCTCAAAGTAATTTTCCTAAAACTTGGTAAGGTACTCTCAAGGTAATTTCAAAAAAAAAAATTAAATCCAAATTCTCAAGCAAAGGCTTTGTTTGTTGTCCAACAACATCATTGTGACCGTCTCAAATGACGAGTCACAAGTTTGAATCCCAATCAGGGCATTGTTGACTTTTTGTTCTTCAATAGGTTAGAAAAATATATTTATACAAAAACTACTAGATTGCACTCTAGTACACTCTTACTCCTCCTAGTTGACATCCTATGATACTCCCATGTCTCGTAGAAGTTATATTGGTTTGACTTTCATGATGTCTCAGAAATAATAAAATTATTTGAGAGAGTTTATAAGGTGGTTGTTTCTATGTGCTTATAAGCTGGTCAAAATTACTGATAAACAATTTTTAATTTATAAATCAGTTGATGACATGTTTCTGTGTACTTATAAACTGCTTATAGGCCATTAAAAATAAGTAAGTCTTAGCTACTTAAATATATATGCACATTTAGGCTCTATTCTTTTGGGCTAGAATTTAAGAGTTAAATATTGGAATAAATTGGAAGGAGTTGGAAGGAGTTAGAAAATGGAGTATTAAAAAAATTTAAGTGTTAAAAAGTTACTCAATTTAATGATCACCCAAATACATATGTAAAAAAAATTCTAGTTTTGGATAAAAAAGTATTCATCATTATCCGTATTTGAGGTGATATGTTTAAATCTGAATATATAATGTTACTTTATATTAATCATATATAAATAAATTTTTCAAGTGTTATTAGAAGAAATCAGAAGGAGTTGGAAGGAACTAAAAAAAGGTAAAAAAGTTTGGAGAAGATAATTCTTCCAACCCAAAAGAAGAGAGCCTAAATAATTACATAGTGCTCGTTTCATTGTTTAAATTAAACTATTTAGTTTGCTACTAAGAACGTTTATATTATGTGAAAATTAAAAAATAAAATACTACCTTCATCGCATAAAACTTTTCAAAAAGAAAAAAAGTTGCACTCCAAAAGTTTACAATTTGAATATTTTTTTTTAATTTTATCTTACTTTATAGTTTAATAAAATGTGATGTGTCGAATAGATCGATAAATCATAATTAAAAAATAATATCAAAATAAGTCATCATACATTTTTTCATTTTTGAAATAGTGTTCAAATGTGCAATGTGATATAGATTGTGTATATATATACAGAGTACAATATACATAGATACCTGAAAGATATCTCCGATGTTAATGACGAGTGTATTTGGGTTGGGCTTAACAGAGATCCATTTGTCATCTTTGACCAGATGCAGCCCACCAATTTGATCCTGATGTAATATAGTGAGGAAATCAGTGTCGGTGTGGGGCATTAGCCCAAACACGTGATTTGGGCCGCATGGCGGGTACCGGTTCATTCTCACATAGCTACTCTTTGACCAACACTTTTGTTCAAAGTAGTTTGACTTTTCTCCCAATTCTTCACCCAAAATTTTGCACAATTTCTCTGCTAATTCTCTCATCCCTTCAGCGAATTTCGTCATTGTTGAGCTGAAATTGTTGAGCAAAACCGGGTCAGTAATACAGATAAAATCATAATTTAACTTGTACTCCAAAGTACTATAAAAACATAAGTTTAAGTACGGTAAAGTCATAGCAAATAAATACGTAGTATGACTCAAACTTACTAAAAACCCATAAATGATCATGTATAATTTATTCGTTAACAATTTAGGGGTAACAATTCGGTATATTTGGTTTTTATGTCTTGGGAACATGTCGGATTATAATTACTAGAACTGATGAATATCTTTCCCAACGAGCTGAGATATAGAACCGGACTAATAGTTTGTTTTCGAAATTTGCCCAGCGTCTCAGCAATATGGGCCAAGAGGGGGTATCGTTAGAGAGTTGGGCTGGGATAGTCGATTATTTGGCGAGACATGGTCAATCCCATGGATCATGGGTGATTGATGACTAATTCTCCGTCCATAATTAGCGCCAGTTAGATCAATCGTAGCGCAAAATTAGGACGACGATTGATTACCATGAATAGCGTGCTGTGTAAATTATAAATAGTGCGTAAAACCTCATCAGTAGACTCAAGCCGAATTGAGTTAATGCTAGGGCAGTCAACGGATATCCAAAAATCTGATTGTCGTCTGCATCCGTATTCGTTTAAAGAGGAAATATCTGCATCCGTTTTAAACGATTCTTATCCATATCCGATAAGGATATCCGATTACTAAACGGATACGGATTTGGTATATGTATATCCAATCCGTTTAAAATCCGATCTGAACATGCATCCGTTTAAATAACCATTTATCCATAATATGATCCGTTATATATAGTTTTTCCTAATTTTTTGTTGTTTATATTTTGTTTCTCTATTGATATTTCAAAGTATAAAACATTTTTATACACAAAATAAATGTGTAGACACATAAAAATATGTGCAACATATAAAAATATGTGTATATGTGTGCTGTGTATATCTTTTTATCATATGAAGTTATCGTAGAATATCATAAATCATGAAAACAAAGAAAATAATTATCCTATAACAAATTATAGTTAATTCAATAATAGTTTGACTTTAATCTAATCTAAAATTAAAGTATATATCCGATATCCGACAGATGCGGATACAGTTTTGATTTTCAGTATCCGTCAAGATCCGTCTCCGGATTCGATATTCAACAAAAATAAACGGATATGGATTTGGTAATAACACATCCGATCCGATTAATATCCGTTTACAGCCCTAGTTAATGCAAATAATAATGAGATCATATTCTAAGAGTTATATATTATTTTTCTATTAATGCTCTAGGTGCATCTCTAGTTGTTGGGCTAAAATCAATCAAAAACTATTTGTGAAACTTATTTCCAATTTACAATATCAGTCAGAACTGGAACAATGGTAGGGTGGTACATACGGACTACGGAGTATTAAGCATTTTTGCCACCCCTATCTAAAGGTACGGGTTTCAACTATTGGAGTGACCGAGTGACGCAATGAGGAAGTATAATCATTTGCGCCAAATCCACCTACATATATAGGCACAAACTCCGTGGGGACGAATCGAACCCTCTTGCTTACCCTTAATAAAAAGTCTTCTTTAAGACTCGAGTGGGTGTTGCGCAAAGGTACATTGTGCCAATGCTGTAATACACCAGTTTGATTCCAGACAATTATGAGAAACATAGGGTCTCTGCAAGTATCATGTGTAGACTAAAGTCGTTGCCACCAATCTACGACCAAAAGATAATTTATCTCTTCTTAATGACCGTCCGGTCAGGTCTGAGGAGTCCTCAGGATAAGACTCATCCTTTTTAATAAAAAGGCTTCTTTAAACATTTAAAATCCGCCCCTTCCACTAACTAGCTAGACCACTAGAACACAGCACTTTCATGGTATCATTACAACAAGTACACACACATTATGACATATCCTTTTTATCTTAGTACTTTTTTCACAAAGACACATCTCCAATACTCCCATTTCCATGTGTACCTTACTCTCCAATTATTTATACCACTTTTGATGGCTATATGGATAGCTTAGTTTGTCCAATGTGAACATGTCTTGCTCAAGGTCTTTTTAGAATTGAATTCGAATAGCGATAATGTGGGAGTCCTATTTTTTATGATAATAGTTTCTTGTGCGCACCGAGCCTACATCTCTACAGACCAGACTAAGATTATATCATGATTTACTATACACTCCTCACTATGTTGTCAGGTCGGGGGTTGGGGTGCTCGAAATTGGTGTTTGATCGGCGTATGGAACTGCAAAATTTATAACTGTTGCTAACATAGTAATGCTTTAGCCTGAACATTCGAATGTTACTCGATATGTCATGTTGTTTTGCTTAACAAACCTAACATGTCCGTTTGGATTTTGCTCAATCTATATATATGGACTCTAAGGTATGTTTGAGAGAGACAATTTTTATACTCGTTCTAGATACTTGCGTGTTTTCTACTTGAATTATTTTGGTATACCCTGAAACAATTGTAGTCAAAAAGCATATTTCACACGCTTCGATAATCTTTCATGTTTTTTTCACGTTTGTCGTATACTAATAATTCTCTAACGTTGCTACGTAGCGTTGTTTCATTTCCAGAAAAAAGTGGAACGCCCACCCCGAGCGCTCCCATACCCCGGCTCGGCAGGATAGTAAGGAGGATAAATTATGGTATAATATTAATCTAGTCCCTAGATAGACCGCGCACCTCGTGTTCGGTGCTCATAGAGAACTATTACAAATACTCCGTAATAGAACTCTCCACTATGGTTTGGATTCGACTTCAGATCTCGGGATTAATAGACTTAACATCTTTTTCTTAAATCAGTTGAGCTACCAGTGCCGGAAAGCCGAAAGGGTATTGTTTTCCTTTGGAAGTCTTTAAGAAGGGTGGCCTAGCGAGGGAGGTAGCTTAGGCCTAACGTGGTGTGTGGCATGGCTGATCAGTAGATAGCTGCCTGCAGGCATAGTACTGTACTGACTAATTCATTAAGCTTATCCTATCCTCATTTCCCCACACTTAATTCAATTCGCATGGCCAGCTCATATGATACCTCCCTCCCCAAATTGTACTTTTCAGAATCTTTGTCCAATTTGCACACCCCCTTTTGTTTACTACCGAGTATGTAACCCACTAGGTTTAGCATATGGTCTATGCAATGAAATATTATGATCCGATTTCATTCTTTACTCTTCTTCTTCTTAAAATTTAATTTATCTCCTCTTAATAAGCAATTCTCTAGCCAAAGAGAGCCTTATGAATGAGATTCTTCCATTTTTTATTTACTACAAATCGGAGTAGACGTAGACCTGATCAAAATGCGAGTCAGCTAGGCCATGTTTTGGATGGGGCCGAAATATTACATAACAAAAATTTTCTAAGTTCAAGCGCGGCCCTATATAGCAACTGAAGCCCGAGCCCAGCTAGCATAAGTACGTGCATGCTTAATAGTTTTTACATAATTAAAAAATATTTTTTTTAAATAAAGTAATGCATTATATATTATACAGAGTATTAGATATTTCATACTCCGTATTTGATATAATAACTATGATGGATATATTGTCAAAAAATTAACTAATATGTCCAATGTGTTTTGTTGATAATGTTCTATTGCATATTTGAAAATTATTATTAGAATATGATAAATAATGATAATAATATATTCATTTGATTAAATATATTTATAAATAGCTCTCTTTTTTTGCATTGAAATATGTGTGTGTTTATAATAGTATTCTGTATAATAAATAGTATTGTTATTATTATTTTAATTATTACTATTGTTATTGTTAATTTATGATTATGATTATTATTATTATTATTATTATTCATTTAGGTCGGGCCGGGCTTGAACAGACAACTCGAGCCCGGTCTTAAAGTATGAAGGCTTCCATTTATAAAGCCCAAGCCTTACCCTAAAATATCAATTTTACGAACAGACAAGGGCTTGGGGGGTTACGGGGGGTTAAGGTAGAAACTATCAATTTTACCAACGGACATCGGACCGCCCCCGAGTCATCCTATGACATTGCCGAAAAATGTCATGGGAATCGTCCCGAACTAATATAATGGTACACTTTTAAAAGTTTAGGAGGAAAATATGCATTTTTAAACAATTGTGGATAAAGCATGCATTTTAATAAAAGTATAGGGACTATTGGTATAATTTAAAAAAATTAAGGGAAGAATATTAAGTTTATCAAGAATATAATATAGAATTCGGTCCATTTTAGAGGAGACATAAAAAAAACTCAACAACGTAACTTTAACTCCTTACTGTCACTATATTAGTTGTTGGTTTATTTTGGGGCGAATTTTGTTTGGTGGGGATATGATTGGGGTTTCATGTGCTCAAAGTAATTTGACTCTAATACATTGTAAGAATATAGAGAAAAATAAACTGAATTTTATTAATTACATGCGTGGTACTAATAATAAGTCACTACTCTAACCTAATAACCAGGCAACAAGCATAACAATATTGAACCGGTTAATTAAATAAACTCTAATCACACCCACTAACAACTTGTGTAAGGTGTAAGTGTGTAACCCTCTCATTATTTTAACATTAATCACTAAAGTCATAATATACGGAGTAGCATTCAGTCCATTTTAAGGTATTCCCTTTGTTCAAAAATCTTTTTTTTATTACGATCTTCAATACAACACTTTAATACGGAGTAATTTAGGGACGGGGAGTAATTTTTTAAGGGAGAAAGGTATAGTAACTTTAATTTTGCCTTTACTTTTTAGCTGTCATTAGTTAAATGTTTCCATTAAGTACCTTCATTATTAAAGATGTAATCATTATGGTTTTTCTTAATGGTTTGTATTTGTACGCCTATATGGTTCGTGGGATGTGCGAAGAATAATCACATTGTTAATCATGACAATGAAAGATTTGCAAGGACTACATCCTCCGTTTCAAAAAAAGAAAAAAAAGTTTGCTGCATATGTGATTGAACACAAATTTTAATAAAATCAAATATTTGTGATAATCAAATTTTATGCAAACCTATTAATGTGGTCAAGTTTTAACATTTGTACTGAACTCTACTGTATAAGTATTAGAAAACTAACATTATTTTTAAAAACTTAGGGTTTCTATGAGCCTACAATCGAGTATTAGACTATATGTAAGGCCTCACGGAAGGGTGTCCTCATCCGTCGTGACAGTGCCATGTACGCGGTAATCACGAATGAATACTATACAATCACTATTTTGTTTATAATTTTTGTACGTAAGTCAAAACTTGACAAATAATATATTGTTGAAAATGTTTTCACAAGATCTATCCATTAACACTAATATTGCATATATAATTTTAACGTTATGTCCCACGTAAATTTTTCGTCATCCATTCATTTTTGAATCAAAACGATGTACTCCCTCCGTTCTAATTAAAGCTTCCTAGTTTGACTTGGAGCCAAAATAAGAAAGTATTAAATTATAGTTGATGACTTTCAATTTTGCCTTTGATATGATAGGTAAAAGTAAGATGTGATGGATATATTATTAGAGAAAAGTATGATGTGATAGGTAGGGTATGAAAAAGTAAGGATAAAAGTGGTTTTTCAATAAAAAAAAGTGGAAGTGTTTTGTTGGAAGTGGAAAAAATGAAAGAGAAAATGTTTTTGAGAACAGAGGGAGTATATTTTATTATTATGAATGAAGCACATTTTAATATTAAATTATATCATCATCGTTTTTCCTTTTTTCTTATCATGTACTACCTCCGTTTCTCAAAAGAGTTCCTCTTTTGACTTTGAGGAAAAATAAGAAAGTGTTAAATTGTAGTTGACTTTCCAATTTTGCCCTTGATGTGATGGGTAAAAGTAAGATGTAATAGTTTAGTTGTTAGTGAAAAAGTATGATGCGATAGGTAGGGTATGAAAAGGTAGGGGTAAAAGTGGTTTTTTAATAGAAAGGGGAAGTGTTTTAAGAAAAACAAAAAATGAAAGATGAAGGGTTTTAAGAAACAGAGGGTGTATTTTTTTCTTAGTTTAAGTAATGCAATTGTGTATTTTTTTGTAATTAATATAGTTTATGCTCCTTTCAAAAAAATAGTTTATTCATTTTTAATTTAATTTTTATAATATTTAAAAAAAGAAAAAAGGGGGGAAATTTAAAATCCTGAATGAAAAAATAATAAAGCCTAAAAAGAAAAAAAATTAAAGAGAAAACATAATAAAATAGTTTTTTATTTTTATAAAAGATGGAATTTAATTTGATAAAAATAGGTAAAAATTAAATAAAAAATAAAAATAGAATCATTACAGTAGATGTGGGGCACTACGGAGATGAGATGTGCTAATTTCGCACTAAGTAGCTGCTAATGTGGACTTAATAGTTGTGGAGTGCTAATAATAGTCTTACAAAATGACAACATTGTTTATTTGCAATAAATGTTTTAGGTAACGATATCGGGCCTGTTTGGAAATAACTTTAGAGATTAACGCCAGCATTTTGAAAAGGTTATCTACGGCTAGTGTTTAGCGTTAGCGTTTTCAAAGTAATCTGCACCGTTAAAATTTTATTCAAAACGCTAACGCTAATCTCTAACGCTATTCCCAAACAAGCCCATCAAGTTTATCAAGTTTACCGTTAAGTAGTTTTAAAAGGTTAAGTTGAAATTACAACTTAGTTGTTTTATGGGAATTTACTTAAAAAGATTAAAACATAATGACTTTCTCAATATAGGATCATATGTTTACATTTTCCAATGTAGGACTAAAATATCCAGCATCACTTGGACTTTATTCTTCTCACTAGTCATTATTAAGTCCTATTTAGGAAATAAAAAAATTTAAGTCCTACATTAGAAAATGACTTATGTTTTAGTCTTATTCAGTGCAAATTTCACTTGTTGTATAATCAATTTATTGCAGAAACTAAAATTTATATGGAATATGCTCCCTCAGCTCCCTCCATAAATAAGCTAAGAGTTATTGGGAAATTAGGAGGTCTCCGTCCTAAATATAAAATATTTCAAAATTATATTTCTAAAAAAATCTATTAATATAAAATTTATATGAAAATTCAATATATATTTTTTTATAATATACAATCAAAGTTTAAAAAGTTTGACAAAAAAAGTCAAATGAAAAGTTAATTTTTAGGACAGAAGGAGGACGTATTAAATTTATTAGTGTTTTACTGTATGTAATTTTGCATTCAAAAATTAGTATACAAAAATACATCAAATTTGTTTTTTTTAAATAAGGTAATTTAAGAAGTAATTAACATAAATGTTGGTTTATCAAATAATTATTAAAAATTATAACTATTGCACATATATATACATACTCACCTAAGATGGGTTTGGCAAGCGGTGGGGGCGGAGACATCGCTCAGCTGGACGTGAAAAGCCTCAGACCAGGAGAGCTGCCGGATGTTGGTGGCGGATGGAGTCCCCCACCGGTAACTGCCGGCGGAGAAGTTGAACTCCATGTCCTTCGTCCTCTGGCTGAAGGGCTTGCGGAAGAGCTTCACCTGTTCCGCCGTCATTTCAGCCAGAATCTCCGGCGAGATCCCGTGGTTGAACACCTGGAAGAAGCCCCACTCCCGGGAAGCCTCCGCTATCTTCCTCCTGCACTCCTCCCGGGCCGCCTCCTCCGCGCTGTCCAGCTCGCCGAGGTCTATCAGCGGCAGCTCCCGCTCCTCCTCCGCCGCCGCCTGGCCCACCATCGCCTCTTGGTCGTCTAAGAGGGTCTTGTATTTCTCCATGAACGGCGGGTCGTCTCCACTTGGTTCTCCCATCATTGCTACGTGGTGGCTTTGATTAATCAATTGCCACTACTTCAAGCTAAGCTATTTATAGTGTGAAGTTGTTGATACGAGCTGAGCATTTAAAAAACAAATTTCCAATGTTTCTTATAAATACTTGTACATGTTAGCTACGAATTCTCTCTTTTTTAATATAATTGAGCCATATGTCACGTATCTATTTTTATTGAAAATTATAGGTCAAAAAAATAATTAACCTTGATTCATTATAACTATGCTTTATTCCGTTCAACTTATTTCTTCTAATCTGATCTGATCTGATTGGATCTGACCTGACCTGATTGGATCTAATCTAATCTGGTCTGATCTGATTGGATGTGATCTGATCTAATCTGATCGGATCTGATCTGATCTGACCTGATTGGATCTGATCTAATCTGGTCTGATCTGATTGGATCTGATCTGATCTGATCTTATTGGATATGATCTGATCTGGTCTGATCTAATTAATTATGATTTGATTTAAAGTTCAAATCAATAATTTGATTTGACTTTATAAAACATTCGAAAATTGTAATGATAATTCATATTATAATACAATCAATGTTTTTATTTTATGATTATTTTTAATAAAATAAAATTAGTTTATAATGTAATAATGTAATAATCATTCATATTATATATGTAATAATGTAATATATTAGAATAATCATTCATATTATAATGTAATAATATTTTTTACTTTATGATTAGTTTTTTGTGAAATTAGAATATTAATTTAATATTTTAATAATTACATGATATATACATTAGAATAAATATTTAATTTCAAAAAACATTAAAAATAATTACATTTAGATAATCAATATATAGAAGAGATAGTATAAAAGATCATCCTTTAGAAACTCAAATTACAAGTAACAATAAAAATATATTTTAAAAGTAGAATTAGATTGACATTGTCAATCTATTTTAAGAATAATTTTTTCGACATCTAATAATTAAGGATTACTTTCTCAGTTTTCTATTTAACTTGTTTCTAAATTTTATTCTTTTTCATTTTTAAGAATAATAATGATAATAATAATGTTAATAATAATGTAAATAATAATAATAATAATAATTCTTCATGGGATCTGATCTGATCTGATCTGATTCGATCTGATCTGATCTGATTCGATCTGATCTGATATGATCTGGTCTGATTTTAATAAGAATAAGAAAAAATAAGTTGAACGGAACGGGGCCTTAGTCCATATGATAAACACTTTAATCATATTAACTCTTTAAAATGGAGAATATAATGCATTTTTTAAAAAAATTGGACTAATAAAAAAAGAGTAACTTTTTATTATTAAAAAATTTGGACTAATAGAAGATCGAGTACCTTATTGTTGTTTGTTGTTGTTGTTGTTGTTGTTGTTGTTGTTGTTGTTATTATTATTATTATTATTATTATTAAATAAGACATATACTCTCGCTAAAGGGAAAGGGTTTTTCCTTTAATGAAATTTGTAGTGAATAGGACTAAAACATACCCCGGAGTAAGTCATTTAATTTTCCAATGTAGGACTTAAACTTTTGTATTCCCTAAATAGGACTTAATAATGTCTAGTGAGAAAAATAATGTCTAAGTGATGCTGGACATTTAGTTGAATAATGACTAATAATAGATAATGACCAATGGTCTTATATTGGGAAATAAAAATATATGATCTCATATTGAAAAAGTCATTATGTTTTAGTCATATTTAGGTAAAATTGACCAAAATTGACCAAACATAAAATTGACCAAAGACCAAATTAAAGAAGTGTTAAAATGTACTCCGGAGTAATTGACTTCTAGTTTTTCTCTTGATGTGATAGATAAATTATTAGAGAAAAAGTTTGATGTGATAGGTAGCGTGAGAAAAAGCACAGGTAAAAATTGTCTTTTAATAGAAAGTGGAAGTGTTTTGATGGAGAAAAAAATGAAAGATGAAGTATTTTGGTGAACGGATGGAGTATTAAATATGGTTCAATTGTTGAAGAAGAGATTGTTCCTCACATATATTTAATATTTATAATGAAAATGCAAAAACGACAATGCATGGAATGCCGACAAAATTAATGGAAGGATCAATCACGCAATGCAAACGTGAATTGAAGAAATATTTGTAAAATTTTTGAATTGAAAATTAACCGTGCATGACACAATAACTTGAAAAATCAATGGTGCAATTTAGTCATCATCCTAAAAAATGCTTTTTATTTGTTTTCATTTTAGATGTCCTGAATAACTAATTTTCTATTGCCTAAACATATTCCTATAATATACTTTTATACTGCCTATTTTAAAAATTTCTTCAAATCTATAAGTCATAGCCGGCAGTATTTAATCTTTTAGGTGTGTGAGAGTAGTGAAGTAAAGAATATACGAAGCATGAGTTTGTGACTCATCATATATTTCTTTTTTTTAATTAAATTTTAATCGCAAACATTTTAATTCTTAAAAACATTATTTTGAAGTAATTAGTAAAATCAAGCTATTACTCTCCGGTCTTATAAAAATCTTTAGCACGTACGGAGTATATAGAGGGTGTTTGGCAGTGCGCTGCTTTTAATAATTTAACTTCTACTCTGAGTGGAAGTGATTTTATTTTGTTTGATATGTTAGCCTCTGTTTTTTACCATCACTATTTTTTACACAGAATACCGTTTTGGAGAAATAGGTTTGAAGTGCTTTTGCTTTTAGCTTTTGTGGAAATCATTTTATCCAAAAGTTAATCACTCCCAAACAAGCTCATAGGCTAGGATACAAATTTACAAACTTTATACCGTCCTAATTGTTTCCATATTTGATTTTTTTTTCTTTCAAAATTTATAAAATTTGAATAGTGGAAAAGTAGGTTACGTTGATTAACCCTTACGTTGAAAAACTAGAGAAAGAATAATCAGAGACTTCGGATTGAATTATACGAAGTATAATTAATTGGATTTATTCTTGTAATTGGTTCGTCCAAAAAAAGAATGTGAGAATTCACTATTTAAAAATTTCTAGAAATTTTATTTGAGTTTATATTTTGATCGACTATATGACAAAATAAGAACTCAAGTGTATACCCACCTACTCCCTCTAGTTAAGACTAAACTTTTCAGTTATTATTAGGGGCTCTCGATAATTTATATTTGTTTGCATAATTTCATCAATGATTTGATAATATAAGATATTTTTGTCACATCTTATTTTGTAAAATTTTTGATTTAGTTTTGAACAATGTAATTTTTACTTTTTTATAATATACTTCCTCCGTTTCTTAAAACCCTTCCTCTTTCATTTTTTTGTTTTTCTTAAAACACTTCCCTTTTCTATTAAAAAACTACTTTTACCCCTACTTTTTCATACCCTACCTATCACATCATACTTTTTTACTAACAACTAAACGATCACATCTTACTTTTACACATCACATCAAGGGCAAAATTGGAAAGTCAACTACAATTTAACACTTCCTAATTTCCCCCCAAAGTCAAAAGAGGAACTCTTTTGAGAAACGGATGGAGTATCAATTTATAAATAAAGTAATTTTAAAAAAGATGGAATTTTGCAATTGTTCAAAATAAGAAATTTATTTTTGAACGGAGAGAGTATTTTAATGAAAAAAGACTAAAATAAGAGTAAAGCATTGGAAATATACTAAAATATGAATTTCATATTTTTATTTCTGAAAAGGGAATTAAAATGCATTTACATTACCAATCCATGTATGTTACCAAAAGATATACTCTTCACCCCACAAAACTTTTATCCTTTTTTTCATTCGTCCCCAAAAAAGTTTTTCATTTCTATTAAAAAGTCACTTTTATTCCTACTAATTCTTAAACTACCTAATAATCTAGGTAGTAATACTTTTCCACTAATAATCTACCTATCACATCTACTTTTAGAATGCCAATATCAAAATACACTTCTCTTAAATCTCTTAAAAATCAAAACAAGAAATGTTTTATAGGACGGAGGGAATAGTAAAATGATACGGAGTAATATACAATGATACATTACCACAGTATAAACTCATATTTAGAGAATAAAAATATAAACTTCTAATGTATTTTCTTATTTAGAGATAATTTGTTGTATTTTAATTTTAAATATTGAGTAAATTCTATAATTGGTCCTTTATAACATGGGAGTTTCCCTATTTAGTCCTCTATTATCAAATATTACCCAAGTGATCCTTCTTTTATGGGTGTCTTTCCACAAATAGTCCTTTTTTTGATCTTCTATCATGTTGATGTTAATTTGAGAGCTAAAAGTGTAATTTCACAATGATAACACTCCCTCCTCCTTGAGTGTTTGTCCACTTTCGTTTTTGCACACCATCCAATGCACTTCTTTAATCCATTTTATCTTGTAATTTTTATATTAAAAAATTATAAAAATTATATATTAATAATCTATATGTTAAGACGAATCAAACAAGATCACACATGACTATTTTTAGACTTACACATTGAGAGAATTTGATGAGTCAAAGTGCTTAGATGAACAGTTCCTAAAGTCAAATGTGGACAAACACTCAGGGACGGACCAAGTATATCTTTTTTATCATACACAATTCCAAAGGTTGTTCCGTTTGCGTCGTTTGTTACTTATAGTCGTTTTTTACTACAACCATAATCTACAAATGTAGTCTTTCGTCAGAATCCTAGCCCACAATCATAGTCATTATTTTTGTGTTATTCGCTTAACCAATATCAGAACACGTTACTAAACATAATGTTGATGTCAAATTATACTTTTAGCCTTTAAATTAACACCAACACGGCAGAAGATAAAAAAAGGAACATTTGTGGAAAAGTACCCTTAAAAAAGGACTACGAGAGTAATATTTGATAATAGAAAACTAAATATGGAAACCCCCCATTATAAAAGACTAAATATGGAATTTACTCTTAAATATTTTACGGACTCGGGGAATATCTTTGCCCCTTCTTGGGTCCGCTCAAATCCCAACAATAGTGGCGCAAAAAAAAAAAAAAGAAAGAGAAGCGCAGCCCGTCCCACCAAGTTTTGGAGAGGCATATTCTCGTACGAAATCTCTCTTCACCTTAACGGAAATCTATATGTTATTTTAATGGAAAAATTCACTTAAATATTTAAAAAAAGTTCGCCATTTATAATTTTAAATCTAATTCATAAATACAACTAAAAGGTAAATTTTTACGTGATGCTACTATTCACACTAAATTTAAAGACTATAGTACATAAATGCCATAAAATAATTAGGCTTTTTATAAAACAGAAAAGGTTCAATGCCTATAAAAGATGGGAAAAAGTTCACATTTCAAGTTTGAACCTTAAGATCACATAAGCATAACTCTAACTTAAAACTCTACTCCAAAATAACTTTTGTATTTATAATTTTACTATTGCACTCCATAGTCACTTCATTTTTTTAAATCATTGTGCAGTTGATTTTTGTTAAAAATTTTGAAGAGTCGAGAACAATGGACAGAATTCCAGGTAAAATTAATTATTTACATATATATTGTTGGAATTTTTGGCATTTTAATTGGCATTAAATGGACCAATTTGGGTATATTTGTCAATAGGTCCACTAACGGTTTTAACCGTTTATTAATGGACGTGTGTTCTCTTAAATGAGATAAATGTTTGACAATTTATACGCCAAAAATGGTAGAGGGTGAATGAGAAATTGATTCTCAGAGTTAACCCGTTAATAAAAGAATATGGTGAGGATTGCAATTTTTGCAATTTTACTGAACCAATCTTCTTTTATTAATTT